AAGAGACAGAAGCTTTCATACCAGCCTTAGAAAAGTAACTTAATTCCTACTTCTCTGAGTTTTATTATTTTCCATCCTAAGACTACCTAATATGTGCAATGCACTTCCCATCTGTGCAGGAACACACAGATGTGACTGACTAATCCTTAAATACCAAGAGAAGTATTCTGGGTGAAAACAGACATTTTCTGCACACAAGGATTACTACTTGCCCATTGGCTTTGTGGATGCATCCAGGGCACTTGCATGAGAATTAATCTCTAGGATTCACTGCCTGGAGAAATCCAGATTGCAGAAAACCTGGCAAGAAGATTCATAACCACTCGCTCCCAGCATAAATACGATGGGGTGCTCTCTGCTCCAGCTCAGCCTCTGAGGTGGGAACAGGGTCCTGCTGCTGTGCAGGGGCTGGGAACAAGGGGCCACAGCCCTGGCTCACCATGCCAAGCAGCCCCAGACTGCCTTCCCGGAGTCAGTGCAAACAAGGGCTGTAGGAAAACACAAAGTCCCCTTCTGATGTGGTTTGGAAAAGGGAGCCAAGTACAGCCTGAGGAAAGCTTAGCTGAAAAGGTGCAGTTTTGCATTTCTTCTTTCATTTTAAGGGGTAGATCTGTAAGGTCAGAGGACCACACAAAGAAAGAATCGGGCGGAGAAACAAAATATTTATATTCTGCTTGCTTATTTTTTCAATTCAGCCTGCACATCTGTCTCTAGCTGTTCCTTAAATAGTCCTTTAGAATAACGTTGTCCCTTCTGCATCAGTGGTATATATGCTACTCCTGAACTGCCACTGGACTAAATCAGAAAGCTCCTGGAGGGCAATCAGAAGATGTGCACATGTTCAGGGACTATCGCAGTGAACCACGAGAGAGCTCTGATTCTCCCCAGAAGGCTTCTGCTTCTCTCCTCCTGCTTGACTGAGAAAGACAAGGGGACAAAAGAACAACCATTCCTTGAAACTGCAGGTATGAGAGGAATTTCAAAAACCCTGATCAAGAAGAACCCCACAACAAAGCAAAACACTAGGCAACCTGAAACTTGGTTGGAGGAGAAAAAACCCCCTAATAATTAAATGTTGCTTATGCAAGATGAAAAACCACACTGTTCCTTCTGGGCACAACAGCCCTGGCAAGCCCAGCATGTATGTCACAAGACAGGAAGCAAAGCTCATGCACAGAGGAGGAGCGGCAGCTGCTCATGCCAACTCCAGCAGCAATCTCCTCTGCAAGGCTCACTCTCCATGCATGGCTTTTCATGCTGGAGTCAGGTATCTGACTACGAAGATAGTTGCCTCTCCCACTTCCACTGAAAAGAGGACCTTCCTCATTCTCCCCTTTTACCTCTCACGTGTGTACCATGTTCACCACTAGACAACGCTATCTGCATTCTCAATATATCAATAGACAGCCCCGAAGCTCCAGCACACTGGGGCACCAATGCCTCCTTATCCATCCTTCTTCACCTTCATCTGCATAGATTTTCTTCTTTCTAATCTCTAGAATTAATACAGTAAGTTTTAGAATGCTTTCTATAGCACTGTTCTACAATACACCACAGAATATCTCAAGTTGGAAGGGACCCAAAATCATCTTGGGTCCCTTGTCTCCAATTTCTCCCTGCTTTTGCTCTTCCTGTTAAGCACAACATCCTAACCTCATGTGCTGTGATGGAGATCAGTTGCAGCAACATTTAGGGACTCTCGTGCTCCTGGCAGAAGATCCCATGTAGCTCACAGTGCCCACCACAGAGCTGTAATACCCCCATACCAGGTTTTAGGAAGAGCTGCATACAAGATTGCAAGAAATAAACATGACCAAAGGGAAATGATCCAGAGACAGCTTGCCTCTCTGCAAGCAAGGAACAAAGTAACATGCCTAAAATATGCCTGGCACAAACACACAGGGCATGCTGCCTTTGGCTTGCCTGTTACTTGGTGGAGAAAAGATCTAATCCTACAATAACCTGCACTCATTACTCACCTAACACTTCACTTAGTTTGCTCCACCCAGCCTAAAAAAGAAACTGCCTTACTCACCAGCCATATATTTATCCAGGGACCCAAGTACCTGCCCTGGATGCAGGCGTAGTCATTTCCATGGGCACAGGCATGCTGGAGTCAGGCTCTTTCAAGTAAGCCCCAGCTGTTTCTCATCACAAGGCAAAATCCCAGCCAAGCAAAGGCCCTTTCTTCCATACCTCTGCTGAACTCTTTGTGTCCCATGTTCCTCAAACACAGAAAGGCAATGAACTGAGCTCAGGCAACCACAGCTGTATTTTTTTCAGGTGGCTGACTAACAGCACTCAAAAGTTGAACAACAGAAAGCCCAGAGATGCCATCAACTCCTTTTAGGATGTCTGAACAGTGAGGTCAAGCTAGAATATACAATTGTTTCAGCAGGCTGCTGTGGCAGCATCACTGGGACACTGGGACACAGTGTATTTCTCTGGGATGGCTGTTCTATATAAGCAACACCGGCGATTCTCAAGAGAGGTTCTTAGCTTTCCCTTTTAAAAAGTAAAAGTATTTGCTCAACTTTTCTACCATTCTTGGAAAGGATGGCAGTCAGGTTGCAGCCCCCAGTGATCACCTGTGGACCTGAACCACATTCAAATGTGAATTATGCTTTTCCTGCATTTAAACAACATCTAAACAGACCAACACACTTCTCCTGTTGTCAACCCCCATGACTGGATTTTACTGTCACTCCAGCAAGCCCATGAACATAAACTGCCCCCTCTCTCTGCTTCAACTTTGGCTTCCACTTGACCAGACCAGGCAGGAAAAGGTGAACATTCACAGCGAGGGAGAACACTCAAATTTGCACCCACTGGATCCAAGTTGGACTCTACAGTGCTGCAACCCCAGGACAGTGCCCAAGCACAGATAATGCAGGCAGCAAAAACAGAGCTAAAGAGGGTCTCCATATACTTATACAAAGTGGTATCCTACCCATCAGGGTTTCCAGCAGAACATGACACAGGTTGCTGGAACAGCCATGAGTTTTACTCAGTATAAAACTTCTGGGAGCTGGGCCCCTTTTAGTTGCTGTGTTTCTCAGAGAGGAGAACTATGCTTTAGATGAAATATGCTCTAGACAGTATTTGCACAAATGCACAAACTCTACGTTAAATGAGGTTAAAGGCTCTGAAGTCCTTAAAGATTAAATGACATAAATCTTATCAACACTCCGGAGTGAAAGAGTCATGGGGCATTTTCTTACTCACTGCACAATCCCTGAGTTGTCCACTCCCTTGCCTCAAACACTGGACTACTATACAAAAGCCAGATTTGAAACTCCTAAGCTTTGCAAATTCAGTTTTAATTCCATTTCTACAAGGAAGGCTTAAAAAGCTTCTCCTGAACATGGGCCAGAGAGAGGAATTTGACCTCTATGTAAACCACAGTTCAGGTCAGGTGTTGGGAGACAGAGATCCTGGGAATAACTTTTTTTGATGTCTTGTTCTCTTACTTCTTTTTTAATATGCTGTGAAACAGAATCACAGAGTCACTAAGGCTGGGAAAGACCTCCAAGATCATGGAGTCCAACCTTTGACGAAACACCACCACGTCAACTGGACCATGGCACTAAGTGCCATGTCCAGCCATTTCTTGAACTCTTCCAGGGATGGTGACTCCACCACCTCCCTGAGCAGCCTGTTCCAATACTTGAGAACCCTTTCAGTGAAGGAATTCTTCCTGACGTCCAACCTGAACCTCCCGTGCTGCGGCTCAAGACCATTTCCTCTTGTCCTGCTGCTGCTTGCACAGGAGAAGCCAATCCCCACCTGGCCACAGCCTCCTTTCAGGGAGTTGTAGAGTGATAAGGTCACCCTGAGCCTCCTTTTCTCCAGACTAAACACTCCCAGATCCCTCAGCCACTCCTCATAGGACTCACTCTCTAAACCCTTGCCCATTTTCGCTGTCCTTCTCAGGACATGTGCCAGGACCTCAATGTCTTTCTTGGAGTGGGGGGCCCAAAACTGGACACAGGATTTGAGATGAGACCTCACCAGGGCTGAATAGAGAGGGAAAATCATTGTCCTGGTCCTGCTAGCCACACTATTGCTGATACACTCCAGGATGCCACTGGCCCTCTGGGCCACCTGGGCAAACTGCTTACTCAAAACTCTGGAGTCCTGAGCCTTAATTGCTAGAAAAAGTTTGCACATTTCAGCTTCGTATGATTTCGAGTGAAGTCCTTCCTAGGGAAGGCACTGAAATATGAGGCAGCTTTGGAGAGATGCCTTAGGTTGCAATACAGGATGTGACCAAAAGTATGTATTCTATCACCATCTGTTAAAACCAGGTGGGGCAGTATTTATCTTTCCACAACCCATCCTTCCTCCAGGGAAATATCTTCTGTTAATGGGCCATTGAGTCCCACTGCATGACTGATAAAATTACATCATCCCATTGGAAGATGCTCCACCCATGGGGAGGAGCCAAGCATTTCCCACCTAGATAAAATCTGAGATTTGGAACACCAAGGCAGCCTTTTTCCACTGGATTCCAGAGGAAAACCAGACCCTTCCACATCATCACTGGACCTTTGGAGGAAAACTGCACCCTTCTACAAGATCACTGCTCCAACAGAACCACATCTGCCACTTCAGAAGAACTGTAGCCACCATTTAATGGGACTGCTACCAACACCCTGACTGACTGATGGGGTGTCAGGCTGTATTCTGACTGTCAGTGTTTTGGGTTTGCTCTTTGTAATGCTGTATTTCTATTTTAATTTTTCCTAGTAAAGAACTGTTAACTCCTATTCCCATATCTTTGCCTGAGAGTCCCTTAATTTCAAAATTATAAAAATTTAGAGGGAGGGGGTTGACATTTTCCATTCCAAGAGAGGCTCCAGCCTTTCTTAGCAGACACCTGTCTTTCAAACCAAGACAAGAGAGGAGACCCAGCTGCTTCTCCCCACGGTTTGCTCTGCCTGCTAGGTGGGTTTGCAGCAGCCAGGTGGGGAGCTGAGGTGTGTGAGGTGCCTCCATACCTGGTACAGCTCTATCCTCTGCTCTGAGACGCGGGCCTTGGTGTTCTGCAGGCGGAAGACCCTGAACTCAGCCTTCACCAGGTTGGAGGCGTTCTTCTCCATGGCCGAGACGTCGAACCTGACGATTCGGAAGTAAAGGCTGTAATAGTTCGGCGGGATGGCGTCTGCAAGAAAGCAGTGGGGTTTCATGACTCCTCTTGATGACAAAATACGTGGTTCCTTCAAACATTCTAATACAAGACAGCCTCAGTCAGGGAAATATCTGAAGCGTGGCTCAGTTTACAATGGTCAATTTAGTACTATTAACGATTTAATAAAAATTAAAAAAACTACCCCGTGTGTTTTTTATAAGATTGCCATATTAATAGAGATTAACAATTACTTTCAACTCTATTTCAGGTCATGCATTTAAACCTCTCCTCTTTCAACCTACTGGGGGAAAACCCTGAATACTTATGAATTGAGAAAAAAACATAGCAGATGATATATGGTAAATGCCTTCAGGCTTACAGAGTGTTCACAAAGATCTGCTAAGACAACAAATAATAGCAGCTCATCTGATCTACATGTTCTCTGAAACCCACTTCCCCCCAGAATACGGACCATGAATTAGCCAGCTTCAGATTTTATTCCATACCTAGTTATTAAAGGATATTTTTGGAACAAAATAGTCATTCTGATTATAGTGATGAGGGCTGGGAGAAAAAAGGAAAAACAAAGGGAAAAGGCAAGCAGACAGTAGAAACTGTAAAAAGGATTACATGAATTTTGACCACTTGGAAGCAGTTAAAAGCCATAAAAATAACCACCCTTTACTATATATTGGGGAAAAGCAGAAAAAAAACCCCAGAAAAATGGTCTCAAGTCTTCAACAGCAGCGTTATACATCTCAGTTTAGGTTTCAAAACAACGTTTCTTCTTTTCCCAGTGGTAAACTCTGACTAAGGGTAAGCAGCAAGGCAGTTTTGCACAAACCAGGTAACCCTAAGGGGTTCAGTCATCATCTCAGGCCCTTTCACACTGTCCAGAGCAGCAGCACCAGGAGAAATTTGTCTGTAGAACCCCTGCCTGACACCCAAACTTGTCAGAGAGGAAACAGGGGAAGAGGGTGGAAGGAGACAAGCTCACAATCCTCAGAGAGAAGATGAAATGCCTGATAAAAATCTCTATTCAAATCGAGGAAACCGTTTCTTCTTCTCTTACAGTGTGAAAACTGAAGTGGATAAATTAAAAAAAAAAAGGAAGAAGGAAAATTTTATTTGGGGAGACATTTTCAGCTGAGGAAGTGCAGGTGTTCTCACAGTTACACATTTAATGACCCACTTGTTGGAGCTCTTTGGTAAGTTCAAACTGACTACTTAATAAATGTAGCTATGAGAAAATCTTTGATGATAAAGAAATAATCTCAGCCTCAACTGTAGATGCATTATAAGTGAGAGATGACAAGTTCTCAAAACATTTCAAAACAATCCTCTGAAAGAGTACGCCCCAAAGAAGACCCTCAGTATGATCAAACAGGTACAACTACGAACAGGAAGCCCCAGACTTCCTTATGATTCCATTTAATTAACAACAAAAAAAAAGAGTTCTCAGATTTTCACATCTGCAGTGCTTGAAGATTACCCCCCAGGCATCATAATCACTGTTCTTGGCTTCCACGCTTATTGACAGGAAACTGCTACAATCTCACAGTGAGAACTCAAAGGCAAACGGATGCAAATTACTCCCACACCAAAGCTGCTCCTCACTCCCATCAGCAACACATCACTGCTGGAGTCTCCCAAAATACCAAAGGAAGGGCCGCTGAGAAATGCTTAACTGTGTGCAATTATGATGCTGATACATTTTTCAAATTCTTATAAAAGCTACTTGGTTTGGAGATTACATCCTCCTTCAAGAGAGAAACACTATCTTCAGTTTATTTTTCTTGCTGTAGGAAACTCAGAGACTACTACTTGTTCTTCAGCCAAACCTAATCCTACTAGGAATATAATTTGGCATAATAATATGTATATATGAGATTGATGCTTCCAGGATGAGTTGTAAGTTGTCCTTTCCTGTCATTTGTTTGAGGCATCACCCTACCATTTTGTTCACTGTGGACAAGCCAAACTAGCAGCCATTCACTTGCCCTGGCACAGACAAACCCTGTTCATCTTGACTTTATTTTAGATCGAAAAGCCCTATTTAACTGTCAGTTTGGTTTATATTTAGCTTCTTATTCCTAGAACTTTCTTGTGCTATATTTGTAGGCCTTCTCTCCAGTTCTTTGTTTTAGGTACTGTATATAACAAATCTCTGAATATATATCTGAGTGGATATTCCTGAGCCATTCCTGCATTTGTATTTTTTTTCTCTCTTTCATATATAAGGAAGACAGAGAATGAATATTCTTCTAGTGTGCCCGTTTTTGTGTTTGCATATGTGCATTTGTATATGCTCCAAACAAGTATTTTCCTTCCATTGGAAGGCAGACATGGGACAACTCTATCAGTCGGCAGGAATTCTTATCTTAAAGAAGCTTCATCTCTCTTATAAGACAGTTTCACATCTTTATGTGCAAAATCTCACATAAGAAATTTGATTTCTTTACTCTATCATTCATGACAGTATCCACAGGAAGTCAACTGAGGAAAAGGCATTATTCATGGGCTGATGAAAAAAAGAAGGAATGGCTGACTGCACAATTGGGGTTTATGTGAAAATTAATCAACATGAAGTCTGAGAAATGAGACTTGCAACTCTCTTTAAAGGAACTCTAAGAACCCTACGGAGTCTACAAGGTTTTGGATTAGCCTTTAAGTGATCTCAGATGCTGCAATTTATCTCTCTTTGTGACTCCACCTTAACCTGACAGTTGTATCAATTCAGATGCAGTTGGATACCCCTGCACTCCCCTCTGGTTTTGGCTGGCCCCATGACTCCAGCAGACACCAGGATGACTCTGACCAAGCTTGTCTGCAAACACAGTTACCCTGCTGCAGACTAGACTTCTGAAGTATTCTTTGAACTATTATCATTAATGAGTGGAATTAAATCAATATGTTTCCTGTAGCTAGGAAAACACAGATTTCTTTTGTTTTGGTGGGAGAGAGAATAGTAAATGCAATGAAAGGTTCCATTTTTATCATTTTTAAATTACTCATTAAATCAACCCCCAAAAAAACCTGAAGACTTCCAGCTGTAATAATCACAATCACAACCATCACAGTCGAGACGAGTTGCACAACACAGCTGGAGAAGGCGAAGGCAGCATCCATCCTCCTCCTCCCTTAGGCTGCTAAACACTAAGCATCACAAGTTTACTCTTTTGCTTTTTGGGTTTGCTTTTTTTTTTTTTTTCTGTCTTGAACAAGCTAAAACTTCATCAGCTGCTTTACATGGGGAAGTCCGACCTGCCAGGTTAAAACGTACTCTGGTATGTGAGTGATTAAGTGCATAAGGACACTGTGGTTTCTTCTGCCTCTTACTGACTTTGTTCCATGTCCAGCATCCTCCAGGCTTCTGTGCCAGCAACCTGGACAGCAAGCAGCCCTGCTCTGATGAAGCAGAAAAGCACCAACGGGAGGGGTGCAGGAGACCCATCCCAACACAGTCTTCGGTGTTGCTCCAGGCTGGAACACTGTCACTGGGAGAGACTGAACACATTCTCTGACCAGCCATCCAAAACAGCACACAGGCCCCCCAGGAGCACCTGGGAGGAGAGCAAGGTGTAGCCAAGAACCCTGAAAGCAGGGATAGGAAGTTTGTTTTACGCTGAAGATATTCCCCAAATGAGGAATAACCTGCATAAAAGGATGACACTTCTGCCTTGCGCAGTTGTGTTTGATGAACTAAGCCCTGCATTTCCACAGCTTTCCTCACAAGTACTGCATGTACTGACATTTCAGGAGAAACAAAACACTCTGTTTGACACAGCTCTTCTGAGAGCTGAGCTTTCATTCTGGCGAGGAAAAAGACCTAAATTCAATTGTATCCAAATGAGGCTTTTTTTTCCCTCTGAATTTTCATTTCTGCTATTGAAACAAAAAGAAATCAATTACATGCACAGCCCAAGTTAGAAAATGTAAACAACTTTTCTTTTCTCGTTGGAAGAGGCCAGACAGGCCGCCTTCACACATACACCCACACTGGAAAGGCTGAGAGCTTCAATCTAATCCTTCCATCAGGGGCTTGTAATAAATGCTCCAAAGATTTATTTTTATTCCCTTTTGTGTTTATTAAACTTTGGAGGGTTTCTTTTCCTTTTTCTTTTCTTTCTGGTGCTTTGCCCATTCTTTATTATGGCAGCTACAAAACACGGAGTGCCCTTTTCTTCTCGCTCTCTCTATTTTTTTCCCTCCTCATCTTTCTAACTGCACTACATGAATGACCATGTAGTAGGCTTTGAAGCAGCACATGCAAATATTTATAAGAGTAGCTTGATTGTTATTAAATGCAGTTGTTATGCTTTCCACGTTCTGGCAAGCTTCCCTAACCTCTCTAACTATTAGGACCATTTAGGCTGTTTAGATTTCAGCTGATAGCAAATTCTATGGTTTTTTTTTTCCTTAACAAGCAGCATAACGTGACATCGTTTCTCGCTGTGTGTGAATTTCTCTCCCTGCTCAGCTTTGGGGTCCCTGCCAGGAGCTGGGTCAGGCTGCCTCCAAAGACACGGTAAGTGAAGCAGCATGAGCTGGAAGGATGAACATCTTGTCAGCTGTGACAGCACCTCTTTCCAGCAGGATCCCATCCTTCCTGTCAGGCACACTTGGGTCACAAATCCTCTCCTCTTTTCCAGGGAAAGCCTCTCCAAGAAATTAGAAGCTTGTTTAATGCATCTGGGCTCCCAAAGCCCATAATAATCACTCTGCTCACCCCTCCCGACCCTGATGTGACTGCAAAATCCTGCTGGAAACTGCCTCTCTGCAATCAAAGGGGACCTAATGATGGAAGCCATAGGTCATACCCAGGAATTGGGACTGGCCCCCAAGGGTAAATCCCACCATGACATTAAGCTCTGAGCACATCCATCAGCTGATCAGTGCTCTTGGACTGAACACTCGTGCCATTCCTCCTCAGGCACAGCTTCCAGGCTTCTTGCAGCAAGGCTTCAAAGTAGACACTATAAAAGTAGTGTAAGAGACTCACTCCAATATTCCAGTTTTTATCTACAAAGTTA